ATAACCACCACTGATAAGGGCATCGTAGCCACCACTGGCAGGGGCGCACGACTCTCTACTGACCACCTCCGTTTCTCCCCCAAGTGGGGTAACGTGTGCCCTTTAGCCCTGGGTAGCTGTCGCTGCTGCTATTGGTGCTGCTGCTGCTATTGGTGCTGCTGCTGCCGCTGCTGGTGCTGCTGCCATTGCTGCTGCTGCTGCTACTGGTGCTTGCTGTTGCAAGGTCGTATGAGGCCAGTCTCTGCGAATCTGCACCGCTGACGAGAGGACGAACGCTGGGCAGTTCAAGAGTTGACCGTGCTCTGGAAGGGATCAAGGCATCAAGATGTATATCCAGGACTTAGCTTTCCAAGAAATGGAAGTTGTAACCCAAGACCTAGGAACACACGAGGCATGGTGCGCTGTAAGCCAGGGCATTGTTTCCGGGGGCATGATGGCAATCTGGGACACTGGGAATGCGATACAACAAGATTGTGTTAACCAGAAAAACAGGGCCCGGTTCAAGTGAAGTGCCATGCTGCTGTCTCACTTGTCACGCTGCTGACTCACGTGTTTCTGCTGCTGACTCACGTGTTGCTGCTGCTGACTCGCGTGTTGCAGCTGTGCTATCGACTCACAGTTAATAGAAGCAGTGGAATAATGGGTGGCTGAAGGATACTAGGAGATGCCGTGGCACCAACGGGGTTCAGAGGAGAGGCGATGGTCCAGGAACTCTAGAGGCTTGTAACGCTTCAGGGATTAGTAGGGGGGACGGAAGGGAGCAGCTTGCTAGGGGCTGAATGTAGGGAGGGGGTCATTGAGTATGGAATGAGTTCTCTGCGGTGAAATGCCCCTACTTTCCGAAAATGCAGAGACGTTTGCTGTGGAGTCTATTGCACAGCAAACAGGGTCACATCCCCAACTCAACACGTCTGTGGTTATGACTCTCCCCACGACGAGACGCGTTGAGTTAAGGGCGTGCCTTGCCTCAAGGCTTGAGTCACACCCCAACCCACACCGCAGCACACACACGGCGAGCTCACGAGAAACCCTCCAGTGACCCACGGGGGGGGCACGCTGAGCGCCGTGGGCTTTCGGCCTGATGCTGCTGAGGGAGACGAAAAGAAACGTTTTCCTGCCAAGTGCTTGCCCTTGGCGGCAGGAAGAAACCTGAGTCCATGGGAAGGTGAATCGGGTCTGAGAGCTGATCCTTGTGATCCGACTCGATAGTGAGAGATCCGGTGCTATTATGCAGAAGACCTTGGGATTTTGAGACGACAAAGTCGCCGCCTTGGCATGTTTGCCGCCTATGGAGGGAGGGAGCAGACGGGGAGCAGAGGGGGGCGGGGTGGGGGGGAGGGGGGGAGGAGGGGTTGGGAAGAGAGGTGCTATAATCGGCTTAGCCGACCTTTGAAACCCAAGGAAAAGACGTCCCTGACGATTCGTCATGCGGCTTGTCAGATACTGCGCGATCACCGTATTATTCTACATTCTGCTGCAGTAAAGGCGGTGATCTTGCTCCACGTGTCAAGCCAGGAGATGGACAAACAATATTCTGTTACCACGTGTCTAAAGATCGAGCAGTTGGGTCCTCCAGGGAATGGGATCTGGTGATGGTCTGCTCTAGTAGCCTCATCGAACTTATCTCACAGAAATCGGATTTTGGATCACCAATGGTTCGAATATCAATCCATTCCCATCGTTGATCGTCGGACCGAATGAGAAACATCGCGGACTGCCACTCCACCACACTCCACCCCATTCCAGCCCTTTCCGCTCCACGCCACCCTTTTCCATTCCACCCTCCCTCGCCGATCGGGAATGTCATGAATCGTGATTCGTGAATCCTGCTGCTGTTGTGATGAGGATCACCTGAGCCGAGAAGCCAACCTACAGGATATGTGATCCTGGATTCGAGGAGTGCGGCCCATGGTAGTGCTCAACTCAACCCTAACTGGGTTGCTGTCCACAGACTTCTCACAGTGGCTTGGGTTATGGTATGGACCTCAACGAGACGAGGAACCATGGATTACCCGCATGAAAACGTTAGGAAATCCGCTGCACCGTTTGGAAATCATTCATCTTCTCGAACCCGAGTTGACAGTCCGTCCCAGTCATGAGCTATATCTGGAGAAGTTTGACACGTTGCGGCAAAACATCAGGTGATTATCCACCGACCACCGCGAAATGTGTGGGAGACAAATGGTGTTGTGAAGGGTAAGTCGCCCGCCCGACCCCTTGGCCCATCAGCTCAACTCCTCTGAACTGTAGAGCCCGTCTGTCAATATTTATCTATGCGCTTGCGCCAACACTGTACTACGCAACGTGACGCCACTTCTGTCGATGGTGGGGTGATCCGTGGACAGAACCGGAAAGTTCAGTCCCGCTTTCCCAGAAGAGACGAAAACACCGCCTTTTTGTGTGCGTGGCGCGGGTGTGCGGGAAATCCGAGAAATCCCGCCTCATACGGTACAGAACAGGTTTTGTGATCTGGGTGGGTGGTCAGGTGGGGGTGCAGTCTGCGTGCTGTGGTGGAGTGGTTGGGGTCGGGGGGGGGGGACAAACAATGAGCTGGATGAGCATAGGAAATTGAAGAAATGGTGGAAGGGGCGACTGCCAAAACAAATCAGGCGAGGTGCTTTTGGAGGGAAATCGCAATACAAGGTTTATCCCTCTTTAGAACCCACTCCAAATGGACAATTTATCTATACCATGGTTTCCAAGAGCAAATAAAACATAGTATACACATGGCAACCCTTGTATTAGATGCATATTTTTCAGATATATATGCAAACTCACTAACAAACTTTTTTCCAAATGCTTCATATTCTTAGCATACAGAAATGCTCATTTTTATTCATCTTGTTAGACTTCATCATAAAGAGTCACTCGCTTGCAAATTCGGGCACGTTCAGCAAAAAACTTTGGATTGTGGGATTTTCTATGTCATAAAATGTACAGACATTTTCCATTGTTAAAGTAGACAAAAACAAGCTTGCATTCGTCGATTGCAATCTTGAAAAAATGCAAAATGATCTGCTTCGTTTAGTTGACGATGCCCAATATATTGACACTTTTTATTATGTTTTGGTTGTTATATTTCGACTTAAAAATCTCGTGTTATCATATTTTTCCTTTAAAAGTAACTCTTACTGGTAAAGTCCCCCACGAACTGATATATTGGCAATAACGAATTCTGCGTCTAATTGTGAAGGGGTCATGATTTTCTTATTCATCGAGATCCAGAAAATGAACCCAACCTTTTAGACTCAAAACTTGAACAGTGTACAGGTACGCCTGTTTTCGAAGTCCGCAGCTTAGTTAGCATTCACATAACCATAAATTTGAAGGTGGATGTTGAGTTTGTTGAGTAGCTTGAGCCATTCATTAGAATCGGAAAAAAAATATTGTCAAGCACGTTTGAGATCTCCCCTATACGCCCCTTCGGCTCAGCTCATGTACTGAGTCAGCTGGCTAGCGATAAATTGTATGAGAGATTCGGGATGATTATTGTGAAGAGAATGCACCCAAGAGAAAGCACGATCTCTGAAAGGCTAGCATAGTAGTATATGCTGCAATTTGTCATCCCATAAAACAAGCGTGGATGGAAGCTAGCACCGAAGGCCCATTGGGCTCTCCATCTAGGGGTGTCGTCGCTGAGTAAGGCATGGGTCGTGTCGATATATTGTACCACATCCATTCGGAAGGACTGGCCTCTACCGAATAGTCCTAATAGTTTTTGCAATAGAAATTACAAATTCCACCTAGCCTTATCACCCGGTGTACGATCCTAAGTATCATGTAATCAATTTAACCCCCAATTTCCAGCTCTACGGGTTCAACAATCTGAGTTCCTTAAAGGAATATTTCTGACTACTACAGCAACTAGAAGAATGGTAAATTCTAGTTTTGACGCTTCCTATTTAGAGTGCTTGAACATTGTATATCCATCTTCCCCCCATCTTGTGCGAAAAAACTCATAACCAGGTGACTTAGGGCTGGTTAGACCGCGTGTCAGGTCGTTGGTACAGGTTTGTCGAGCTGACCCGTGGGATAGGTCAACCTAACGGCCACTGCGCGACCATTGACGCCAGGACCTCTGAATGTGTCGACAGGTAACTCTAGTGAGGTCGTGCGCAAAACAAGTGACTGCCGCTGTGCACGACCAAATTTATTCACAATCCGCTAATCTCTAGTAAACGTCGTGGGGCATGCTAATTGGGTCGCCTTGTTTCGCGGCTTTTGGATTGTCTATTTATGCGACGCTAAAGTTGACTGGTAGACGCGAATTTCAACGGTTTTAGAAAGCGGGAAAAGTTGGCGTCAGCGTCAAACTCACCTGACATCCGGGCAGTATCTGCTTCCACGGTACAGGTAGGCTGTACCACATGCTTGACACGCAGTCTAGCTTTGCCCTTAGAGAAGCTTCTGGCTTGCCCATCCTTGGCTTCTCGAATTCCTGGCTGAATGTCCCATTTGCCGCGCGGTGTTCAGTGGTGGGGTTTCTGTCTGGGCGGCGTGGAATTAATTCTGCGGCATGTATCCTCAGCTAAGTGTACATCGCTGAGCCTCACTGGGTTCACCCCCGTTCCCTCCCCCCCAAACCCACCCCCAAATTCCCGCCCCCAACCACGCCAGCCCCTCCCCAAACCTCTCGATTTTTTCTGCTTTCTGCCCTCTGTCCGCGCACCCTTCACAGTCGTTCATCCCTGCCCTCCACTCCCCTTGACTCCTGCCCGATCCGCACAATTGCTCCCCTTCTCTGTTCTCGGGTGGGGGAATTCGCACCGCGTGCTTCGCCACACGATGTAAATCCCAGGATAAAGGGATAAAACGTTTTGGTGCGGTGCTGTACGATTTAACGTGGTCAGACATATGAAAGGTTCCTCCCGTCCCCTCCCCCTGACTTCCAAGTGCGCTCCGCACAATGGCGTGGTGGTGAAGTGGCAGGCTTCTTTGGCTCCACCATGTAGGACAATCCGGCATGGAGATTGTTCTTATTGTCAGCTCTAGAGATGATCTGCCCCAGACGAATTTCAAATCTAGCTCTTGATTTGCTTCACGTGCGTCAACCTCATTCTCACGGCAATGTTTCCCTCTTCCGATTCGTTCACGTGAACAAAAGCCATTGATCATGCGACTATGGATCCAATCCAATCCACGGCAGATCACTTCACCACCTGTTGCTAAATCCGAAGCTCAGCCTGCTCTCCCGCTTGGTCGCGAATATTCGGGTAGATTCTGCGTGATTCGGCGTAGCATAACTTATCACGTTGGACTTGATATTCTCGGGTTCGGCGGTGAACAAGCGGCGCCATAACATTCTCGACGTGTCGTCGCAGCCACGGCAGCAAGCAGCATGGCGAAGGTCGCTGGATGGCGTTCTTCCATAGAATGTACCGTGCTTCCCCTTTCAATATCAAAAGTCGACCTCCGCTGGTTCGTTTATCTTCCCTCTTCTCCCCTCCGCTCCAGTCCAGTCCGCCATTGACCATCGCTATCATCGGTCTTATCACTCATGGCGTTCTTTCACACCCACCAGCCTCTCGATCTGTACCGAGCTCCCTGCAGAAGGGACCGCCGGCTAGCGGTAGAACCGCCGCACGGCCGCTCCGCGCCAGCGCGTCCCGCCGTGGCGGAAAGCCCCCGCCGCGGAGTCACACCCAGCGCCCCCGCCCCGCTCCGCAGCGGGAACCCGTCTCCCCGCCGAGCTCTTTCCGCCGCTGACTGCGCGACTGCGCTCTCACTAACACCATCGCCTCCCCGCGGGAAGAAGCCTGCTTCCGCGTTTCACCGGCGGCGGCATTCCCTCTCAGGAGTACCATCGTCGCCCGCCAACCTCGTGTCACCCCCCCGCCACCCGAGCGCGGAAAAGGCGACCCTTAACACTTCTACCAGGGTTGCTTATAACGAGTACGTTGCTGCTTCTTCTCGCGTCCTCCAGAGGCCTGCAGATGCAGCAGCAAGCCTTCCCAGTCGTCCTGGGGAAGCCATGGTCCTGGGCCCTCGGAGCACGACCACGCTAGCTACCTCCTTCCAAAGCACTAGGGTGAGCGGTGGCAGCAACCCTGCCTCGCCTCAATCTTCAAAGGCGGCTATCAGCAGCAGCAGCAGCAGCAGCAGCAACTGCAGCAACTGCACTGCCTCTCCTCTACCTCATACACCGAGCAACAGCCCGCCTGCCTCTCCTCAGTTTCCAAGGCCGTGCACCGACCCCCCTGCCTCTTCCGTACCTCACAGGCCGAGCAACAACCTCCCTGCCTCTCCTCCGTCCCCAGTGGGCTGTGGCAGCGTTGGCAGCAAAGCTAGCAGGAGCAGCAGGAGGGTGGCAGCATGGAAGCCTGTCAAGCCATGCCTCAGTGAGCCCTGCAGCCCCAGACAGGGATCGCCGGTTAGGAGCCCAAGACGTGTCAAGTTCTTCAAGTATGTGGAGGTGCTTGAATACATTCCCTAGGTGATACGTTCTAAGATGTATTTAGCAACGCTATTGGATCTGTTGGTTCCTGCTTTCACTAGGGTACGAGTGCAATAACTATGTAATGAGTGACAGTTGAGAATGTTGAAAATAACGCTGGTAAATGTTGAAAATGCTTGCAACGGTTCCTATTCGGCATCCCTGGCCGTAGAACCTAGTGACAGGCCGGACTACACCATTTCTTTTTCAGCCGGAATTTCATACCAGGCCACGTAAGACCCACTGCACATTTTCTAATTAAAAAACCTCCCCTTTTCAGCACTTATCGTAATCGCATCAACACCACGCTGATGCTGCCTTAGTGTTCCCCATATTCCCCAACAAGATGCTACAGTGCCTCTTTTGAGGCCAAATCACAGCGTGTAGGCAGCGCCCATTGCTTGTGGCTAGTGTGGGATCCACCAAGGTGGATCACAGCCTTCTTAGGTCCCCAACGGGTGGTGACGGAGGGACATGGGAAGAAGATGGTGGGAGGGAGGGTGATATAGAAGGTAATGGCGAGGGGATTGTCGGGGATTGTCAGACGGGGGGGAGGCAGTGGTGGTGGGGAGGGGAGACGGTGACAGTGACAGAGGGGTCAAGATGGTGGAGGTTGTGGAGAGAGGGTGATGGTGGGTGGGAGGGGGGTGTCAGACGGGCGGCAGGCAGCGGCGGCAGGTGGGGCATTCCATCTTGATGTCCATCCAGCGCTGGAGGCATGCCGTGTGGAACATGTGGTCACACGGGGTCACCTGCCATGGGGGGATGATAAACAACACACAGAACGCAGCAGATTATGAACAGGGGAGTCCGGGACGCATGCGATGGGGCGAGGTACGCCACGTGGAACATGTGGTCACAAGGGGGTGATCCGGCAGGGAGAGCCATGCAATGGACGCCATGCAATGGACGCCAACAGGTGTGAGATGAAAACACCAGAAGATAGGAGTGCCAGGTATGTATGGCCTGCCTTACTTGTGGCATGCCTTGGCATGCTGCCCATGATTTGCCAAGGATGTGACGGGCACAGGCGTCATGCAGATGACGATTACGGATACAAAGCGAGCACATCTTACCATGCTGTGAACACGCTAACGGAATGCCTTACCACGCGGTCCATGGAGTGGCTTGTGATGGGCGCGGGCGTCATGCGGGTGGCTGGTTGTGGAATGGATCACAATGACTACATCATGCTACCAATACAGAAGCCAAGCACCCTACCATGCGGTCCACGGACTGGCTGGTGATGGGCATGGGCGTCATGCAGATGCAGGTGACTACAAATGAAACACAAAGCGCCCTACCATGCGGTCCATGGAGTGGGTGGTGATGGGCATGGGCGTCATGCAGATGGCTGGTTGTGGAATGGATCACAATGGCTACAACATGCTACCAATACAGAAGCCAGACGCCCTACCATGCGGTCCATGGAGTGGGAGGTGATGGGCACAGGCGTCATGCAGATGACGCAGTCCGCAGGGCCGCTGTCATCGGCGTCGCTGCTCTGCCGCATCAGGCACGACACGCGGCGGAAGTAGGAGTACTTCTCGGGTAGGAACTGAGGGGCGCACAGGGGGGAGGGGGCAGCATGAGAGAGGAGAGGTTATGGGTATGGAAGTGCCACATGAGGCACGACACGCGGCGGAAGTAGGACTACTTCTCGGGTAGGAACTGAGGGGCGCACAGGGGAGACTTTTGAGTCGACTCAAAATTCACCGCGCACAGGGGAGGGCAGGGGGAGGACGGACGAAGCGAAGATGAACGCTGCACTTCAAGAGAGACGAGAGGTATGGCACACGCGGAAGTAGGCATACTTCTCAGCCGGCAAATACATGCAACGCAACACCAACAACGTATTCCGACCAGCAACCCACCTGTTTGGGGATGAACCAGCGCGGCCCCAAGTAGTGCTGCAGCAGCAGCGCCGCCACCTGCGCCCCCATGAACGCAATCAGCGCCGCACACCACGCCGGACTCGGCTCCACCCGCATAAAGTTTTTCGGGCAGCCGAAAATGTAGAGTGGGATGGCGAGGCGCGTTGCAGACATGCCGAGGATGTAGTGCACGTGGAGCGGCTTGCGGGAGTCCCTTATAACAGATGTGACTATCTGGGGGATCCAGAAGGAGTAGAAGAGAAGCAGCAGGTAGCGCAGCGCCGTGCTGAAGCGGTAGATCAAGAGGATGCCCCCCAGGAGAAAGCCGTCTGGAAAGGGGAGGTGGCGGTGGTAGGGGGGGCGAAGGGGAGGCCAAGGGACAACAAGGGTTGTGAGGAGAATGGAGGTAGCGCAGGGCTGTGCTGAAGCAGTAGATGAGGAGAATGCCCCCCAGGAGGAAGCCATCTGGTGAAGGGGAGTGGGGGGTGTTGGGGGGGGGGGAGGGGGGAGGGGGGGGAGGGGGGGAAGTGGGGGGGGTTATGACAATAGGCAACAAGGGGTGAGAGGAGGCAGTAGCAGGTAACGCAGGGCCGTGCTGGAGCGGTAAATGAGGAGAATACCCCCCAGGAGGAAGCCGTCTGGCGAAACAGAAGGGGGGGAAAGAGTCAAAGGGTTGAGGGAGCAGCAGGCAGCGCAGGGCTATGCTGAAGTGGTAGATGAGGAAACTTTCCCAGACGTCTGGAAAGGGGAGGTGGGGGGTGGGGGGGGGAGGGAGAGGAGGAGAAGGAGGGAGGAAGGGAAGGGCAAGGGGTAACAGAGGGTGTGAGGAGAGCAGCAGGTGGGGCAGCGCCGAGCTGAAGTGGTAGATGAGGAGAATGCCCCAAAGGAGGTGGCCGTCTGGTAGGGGGGGGTGGGAGTGGAAGATTGGGGGGGCCAAGGGAGGGGCGGGGAAGACAAGGGCACGCGGGAACAAGGAAATTGAGGTACGGGCTGAAGGGCATACTGGGCATGGGGGGGCGATGGGGGCTGCAATTACAAATGGCTATGTGCGTACCAATGGCAAATCAATCAACGAGCTCATGCATTCCCATGCTTGCACTCACAGAATCGCGAGTAGAGGATGGAGAGCTCCCGCCGCATGAGATCCCAGCTCTCGGACGACTGCGCGGGGCGACGCGCCTTCCAGATGGCGAGCAGGTAGCGCATCTCGAAGATGGAGAAGATGACAAACTTGAAGAACGCCGCTGTGGCGAATGCATTGAATAGGGACTCCGCTCCTGCTTGAAGGGCGGGGTAGGGGGAATCGACACAGGGCAGGGGGCACGCGGCATGAGGAATGGGCCTTCCATGCGACATCAGCAGGTAGGCCATCTGAAAGACAGAGAAGATGACCAACTTGTAGAACGCCGCTGTGGCGAATGCGATGAATAAGGACTCCGCCCCTGCAGTGAGGGGATTGAGGGTGGGGATTGGGACGTTAGGCATGCGGCATCAGCAGGTAGCGCATCTCACAGACGGAGAAGATGACCAACTTGAAGAGCGCCGCTGTGGCGAAGGCGTTGAACAGGGACTCCAGGATGCCGGCTGTGAGGTGCAGCACGCAGAGATACGCGTCAATGATGGCCTGCTGGGGCAATGATGGCCTGCTGGGGCAATGATGATTTGCTGGGGCAATGATGGCCTGCTGGGGCAATGATGGCCTGCTGGGGCAATGATGGCCTGCTGGGGCAATGATGGCCTGCTGGGGCAATGATGGCCTGCTGGGGCAATGATGGCCTGCTGGGGCAATGATGGCCTGCTGGGGCAATGATGGCCTGCTGGGGCAATGATGGCCTGCTGGGGCAATGATGATCTGCTGGGGCAATGATGACCTGCTGGGGCAATTATGGCCTGCTGGGGCAATGATGATCTGCTGGGGCAATGATGACCTGCTGTGGAAATGATGACCTGCTGTGGCAATGATGATCTGCTGTGGCAACGGAGCCCTGTTTTGTGGACATGAATAAGACAATAAAGGCGGTACTAGGACACACGGAGCACATTATAAGGAGGATGGCTTACCCACGACGATGCCGGCTGTGAGGTGCAGCAGGCAGAGATAGGCGTCCATGATGGCCTGCTGGCCCACCATCAGCATCGACACCTTGGCTGCTCCCTGTGGTGGGTGGGATGATGGGGAGAGATGGGTGAGGAGAGGAGGGCAATGGCAAAGAAGGGTGAGTAATGGCTGCTCCCTGTGGTGGGGTGATGGGGAGAGATGGGTGAGTCATGAGTCGATTGTTGAGTCGACTCAAAAAAGGCTGCTCCCTGTGGTGGGATGATGGGGAGAGATGGGTGAGGAAAGAAGACTTTTGAGTCGACTCAACAGTCACCGTGAGGAAAGGAGGGAAAGGAGTGGAGGAAGAGACGCGAGAGGGGAGGAGAGAGAGAGAGAGAGAGAGTATTGTGAGTGCATGGAAAGGGGGAGGAGGGGAGTGGGAGGAGTGGAGAAAAAAGGCCTGGGATTGGAGCGGTGATGCAACGGACTGAAGACTTTTTGAGTCGATTGAGAAGGTGATGCAACGGCAGGAGAAGCAAGAGGGGCATTGAAGGGAGAAAGCGAGGCAAGGGACGCACCGATTGTGTGTTGCTGTGCTCCATCTGGCGGATGATGAAGAGCACCTGCAGGAAGGAGACCTGCACGCGGCACAGCACAGGCAGCACCACCACAGACAGCACCACCACAGGCAGCAGAGCCACACAGGCGGCACAGGCACACGGGCACACAGGCACACAGGAAAGAGGGGAGGAACTTAGCGCAGGACACACGACAGGTGAGTGAGCGCACTGGCAGGAAAGGGAGCTGCGCACAGGAGCAGGGCAGCACGGGCACCCGGTCAAGATGATAGCAGCACAACGAGGCGCAGCGCACAGCTGGAGGGACCCCACCCCACTCCCCCCAGAAAGCAGACAGACGCAGGAGGAGAGGGAAGGAGGGGGGATGGAAGGTAAAGGAGGAGGAGGGAGACGGGGAGAAGGGGAGAGGGGGAGTAAAGGGAGGGGAGGGGAGCAGCAACATTGACTCACGAAGGTGACCATGAGAGTGTAGTTGACGGCCTTGCTGTAGTACGCCTCCAGGTCAACAGCCGTCGCATTGATCCTCAGAGTGAGTGAGAGAGAGTGAGAGAGAGAGAGAGAGAGAGTGTGTGTGTGTGTGTGTGAGGGAGAGTGAGTGAGTGAGAAAAGCCATTGACTCACGAAGGTGACCATGAGAGTGTAGTTCACGGCCTTATTGTAGTACGCCTCCAGGTCAACCGCAGTCGCGTTGATCCTCAGGGTAGCAAAGCATGGCGCGTCGCTCTCATCCTCCCCTTCCCCCGCCTCCCCCTCCCCCCTTCCGCCCAGCGCCCTCCCCCCCACCGGATCCTCTGCTGCCACCAGAGCCGCGTCCGCCTCCCACGATTCCCCCACTCCCCCCATCTCCCCCATTCCCCCCGCCGCCCCCCTGCTTTCTGCCAGTAGCTCCGACCCCCCCACCCCTGAGCTCAGCCCTTCCCCTACCCCTACCCCTCCCCCTAGCCCTAGCCCCGCGCCTATCCCTGACGCCCCTGCCGCGGCTACCGCCGCGGACGCGGCGTTACCACCAGCTGCAGCTGCTGCTGCTGCTGCGGCTGCTGCTGCTGAGGAGGCGGCAACGGTTGGTCTGACGAAGGGGTGGCGAGAGGCGCGGTCTGCGCTGCTGTCCTCTCGCACGCTCTCCACGAAGCCCTGCATCTGACTGGGCACGTGCTCCTGCACGCCGTCTGGTGGAAGAGAGAAGGGCCACGGGAAGAGAGGAGTGGTGTGGGGGATGGGAGGGAGAAGAGGCGGGACTACTGCTGCTGTCCTCCCGCTGGTACGTGCTCCTGCACGCCGTCTGGGAGGTGGGGGAGGGGGGGGGAGGGGGAGGGGGAAGAGAGAGGAGAGCGGGGGAGAGAGAGGAGGGGGGAGGGAGGGTTGGGAAAGAAAATGGGAGGGGGGTGATGTGGGGCGGCGAGAAAAGAGGGTCGGGTCGGGACGAAACAACGCGCAGGCGATGGCAGGCAATGATTCTTCAGGGTGTGCACTGCGTAGTAACGCGAGAGGGCAACGGAGACTCACTTCGCCACTCCCACACGGCGGGGGAGACGTGCGTGATCATCCGTATCTTGCAGTTCTTTGCCATTTCCACAACCGCTGCTGCTGGGGCGGCAAGGGGGCGAGGGAAAGGGGGAGGAAAAGGACGGCACAGACCAGACAAGGTTATGCCACGAAGCGGTGGACAGAGGGCGATAGTCATAATGCCAGCGGCAAGGGGGCAGGAGGAGGGGGAAACGGGCCGACAAGGCAAGAAGAAAGAAGGCCACGCTTGGAGAAGGCTGGAAGAGGCGATGAGTTCAGCGCGAACGATGAGATGACGGGATGCCGGGATGGACGAAAGGAATGAGGGCAGCGCGAGGCGTACTGTGATCCGGCGATCCTGGTGCTCGTTTACTGGAGTCGCGCAGCTCCTGCAGGGACGATTCAGAGAGAGAGGGGGGGGGAGCGGGGCAAAAGGGCACCAAGGCACAGGATGGTGAGTCGTACTGTGATTTGGCGATCCTTGCCCCCGTTCACTGGAGTCGTGCAGCTCCTGCAAGGAGGATGCAGCGAGAGAGAGAGAGGGGGAGGGGGGGAGAGGCGGGAAGAGGGGCGCAAAGGGGGTGGTTGCTAGAGCAACGACTCGCGCATTACAGCCTGCAGGGCTAACGACTGCCGGCGCGATGAGGACCAGCAGGCGACAGGCGTTCACAGCGGCACACGAGCGGGCCAAGACGAGCGGAGCAAGGCGAACGAGTGAGCGAGGCTTACCAGCTGGTAACCGTTGGCGGTGCTCTCTTCGTCCACTTCTGTGGGCTCAGCTCCAGCCGAACTGCGCGAGCAAAGGGCGAGGCGGAGGGGTGAGAGCAAAGGGCGAGGCGAACGCGCAGAGCAAGGGGGGAGACAGCGCACGGAGGGGAGGAAGAGGAGGCAAAACGTCACTAGGTGAGGAGGAAGCGTTCCGCGCCGAGCCAGGAACGAGCAGAGCAGCACGCGTCACAAAGAAGACTACGGCCGACTCACATCGCAATGGAATAACGAGGAGGAGGACGCTGTTGGCAGTCACACGAAGATTAGAGCTAGGGTTTCGAGAAATGCACGGGAAGTCACGCACCACCTGCTAAGGACCATTCTAAGGTGGCAGCACCTGCTAAGGACCATTCTAAGGTGGCACACACCTGCTAAGGACCATTCTAAGGTGGCACGCACCTGCTAAGGACCACTCTAAGGTGGCACGCACCTGCTAAGGACCATTCTAAGGTGGCACGCACCTGCTAAGGACCATTCTAAGGTGGCACGCACCTGCTAAGGACCACTCTAAGGTGGCACGCACCTGCTAAGGACCACTCTAAGGTGGCACGCACCTGCTAAGGACCACTCTAAGGTGGCACGCACCTGCTAAGGACCACTCTAAGGTGGCACGCACCTGCTAAGGACCATTCTAAGGTGGCACGCACCTACTAAGGACCATGCTAAGGTGGCACGCACCTGCTAAGGACCATTCTAAGGTGGCACGCACCTGCTAAGGACCATTCTAAGGTGGCACGCACCTGCTAAGGACCATTCTAAGGTGGCCGAAAGGGCGGAGGTAGACCCCTTCCAACTTCATGTGCACGTCGCCGTCGCTAATGTACATGCCGTCCCGCAACACCACCTCGCCCTGCCAACCGGTTAAGGTACATGACATCGCGACAAGATAGGGAAAGCAGAATAGAACTTACGAGACAACAAGACATGCCATCAGGAACGCTGGATGCGGGAGGCCTCAGAATGTAGAAAGTTCAGGCACGAAAAACGTCTTCTGAAAACGGGAGCTAGATTGTGTGCGGAAAGGCTAGAAGCGGGACTTGCGAGAGATTCAGGACGCCGCGAAAACATGCGATGAGCCAATGAACGCCTTCGCATTCGCATCGCCTCTGAAGGCTATCGAAGACCCACACAGCGATTCCGGACACAAGGGCCGGACCCCTAACAGACTAGCACCAGCTTCTCTACCAAGCAATCACGACCGGTATGATCTGAACGGCGAGCTTGCCTAAGGCACCGATGATACGGGTTGCTTAGCATCTGGAACGCCTAAGGACGAAGCAACCGACGCTCGCAGGGGCACAATGGATCAAAACGCGTTGAATAATGGACGCCGGTGCTCACGCGAGCATAATGGATCTCAGGACGAGCCGAGCTGCTGGTCTTTCCTGTGAAACTAAATCATGTTGTATTTTGAGTCGACTCAATACCATGGCTTCTGAGGATCTGCGAAGCGGTTTGGCGCTCACATGGACATACTGGACCTCGGGGCGCGCCGTGCTGCTGTCTTGTTCAATGAGCTACTTGGTGGCTGCTTACGGTCTGAGAAGCGGTTTGGCGCTCACATGAACGTAGTGGACCTCGGGGCGCGCCGTGCTGCTGGTCTTGAGTTGGAAGATGATGTTTCCAGAGTTCTTCTGAAGGTCCGGGAATCGCGACGACGACGAGTTCCTCGCCACCTCCCACGTGCCTGCGACGAGGAAGCCGCCATGAGTCAGACGTCTGATCATTTTCTAGGCGACAACAAAATCCACGGCGACAACTAGCACGTCTTCGTTCACGCACAGGCGAGTAACAGCGGAGTCAGATGCGGAGAAGCTTCCTGGATCACACCTTTGTATGTTCCCGAGATATTCGAGGGGAATATCTTGAGATTCGACAAGTCCGTTGTCTCCACGATTTCCGACACGAGCGGTCGTAAACTCCACTGAGAATGGAAATGGCGACGGAGACGGAGACGGGGGTGGAGATCGCACGTGGAAACAGGAGAGGCGGAGAAGAGAACGGAACAAGCGTCAGCGTCGAGGGATTACAATGAAAAGTGCCTGACCGTTGGCGATTCTACAGTACGGTACACACTCAACGGTCAAGTACGCAAGATATACTCCTTATAACCTACGCCGATGATCACGAGCATCTAAGAAGGCCGAACACAACGATGCGTCAATGTCTCCGGTTTCTAGGGCCAGGTGGTGAAGCAATCCTTAAGCGCTGCAATGCGTGAAGAAAGCACGACTAAGACGGCTTCGTCGCAGGACACGGCAAACGCACCTCATCTTCCCAAAGCGGAAGCTCGGAATCTAAAAGTTTCTCTCGGATTGGTCGAGACGCGAGCTCTCTAGATGGATACGATAGTAACACTACGAAACTTATCAACCAGTGCCATCTAGGACGAGGTTCCCGCCTCGTCATAATGTCCCGCCAGCCGATGCTCTAACCTAGAAGTCTAACTCTGCAGTCCATCCAACAAGGTCGCGCAAACCCTAAATGGAACTAGGCGGTGGCAAGTGAGTTAGGGACGACGCTACTGCAAGAATGGTGAATCCCATAAATGGAGGCAGATGAAGCCTCAGCAGGCTGGGCAAGTCGTTCAGGTCACAACTACTGTACTGTAGTTTCGATGCTGGTAGCGAAAGAAAAAGGCATGGCCAGTGAGCAGACGCGAGGTGCGGGGCGGAGCAAAGAAGGTGAGCACGAGCGAGGTGGGAATGACGAAAGCAGACAGCAGAATCGACGAAGGAGGGAGGATTGCTGAGTTTTGCTCACAAGGCAGGCTGTTTGCTTCCGCTCTGCAGCTAGCGCAGTTCTGTTCAGTGCTGGAGTCGAGGCGAGCCATTCGAACTCGACACGCCCAGCAAGACTTGGCTCAACTCAACTCGAGCTCTCCCCCGAGATCTCCGCGCGCCTGCTGTTTCTCTCGCCCCCCAACCCGCATCGTTTTCCCCGCAGCCTGCCTTGGGCAATCTGCGCTGGAGCCAGCCAGGCCAGCCCAGGGTCAGGGCAGGCGGCGGGCGGAGTTCTTCTCAAGCTCGGCGGTGGCGGGGTTCAGTCTGGTCTGGGGTGAGGGGGGGGGACGAATGCGGGGAACCCTGAGGTGGCGGGAGGAGCAGGAGGGGCAAATCAGTGGTGCGGAAGCAAGGTCCGACGGCGGCTGGTGCAGTGGCGGGCTGGTTTTTGTGCGAACCAAAATTTTGGCGGAGCCACTGAGGGGGAGGCACGAACAGAACGAGCGAACGTCGGTTTGAACGTCGGCCTGAAAATGTGGGCGCAATTCCGCCGAGCCAGGGCCGCCAGCAAGAGGCGGAAAGGTTCTGGTCTGGTCTGGTGGGGGCTGGGGGTTTGCAGGATAGCACCGAGCGCCAACACGCGCCAAACCGCACACGAGCGGACAGGGGGGCAAGGGCTCGAAGAAGGCGGCTGCCCAGGTCGCGGAAGCATAGGGGGCGATGTTGGGGGCGGCGCAGGGGCTAAGGCAAGAAGCGGCTCGGTCTGGAACTGTAGCCGAGTGGTGGAGGGAGAAACGATTCTGCGGATTACGTCTCCACGACGGTTTCGCTCGCCCCTTCCTCGGCGTTGCCAAAAGGCAGTTTGCGACGAGTTGCACCGAGTCATACGACGAGCCGTGCGACCAGTGTGAGTCCAGTCTACTCGGCGTGCCTGTCCATATTCCCTGTTGGCGACAACTTCGGTTGGTGATCAGCGTCGAACGACACCAAACGACGACTCCAAGTGCCTCGAAAAAATCGTTCGGTAACATTGAAGTAAGCATTGTATGCCAACTGTAAGGAATTTTCCATTCCTTACCGAGCAGTACTGCTATCGCATACGCTCGAACACACCCGAAGCCTTGGGACAGTTCCGGACCTTTCTGACAGAACCGCCTCGGCTTCTCCAGACCTTCTCGTTCGACCTTCGGGAGTTCTCCGGGCCTCGCTTCGTCACTTCGAGACCCTTCGATCTCTTTCCCGAACCTTCCCATCTCATGGTTAGACTAGCTCTGGTCCTATATCTTGGCTTGCCATTCCCTGTATCGTCATTCAGTGATTGAACACCCCGTTATTCCTTTCCGCGCTACTCTGCTTGTTCATTCATAACACCTGGTATTCAGAGCCACTTTCCTCGCTCACCCGTTTTCGTGAGTTGGTTTTGAGGGGGGGGGAGGAGGGGAGGGTAAGTCCCTCACGTAAGCTGCAAAGCGGTTGCTCGCAAATTAGACTGATTAATTCGCCCAATTACGATAGCGTTTGCGCTTACCTGAGTACAGACACACTACGGATTTCCCCCTACCCCGACGGAGAATTCGCCAAATGGACCAAGCTCAGTTCAACGAGCTTCGAGAGCACTTCAACGACATGAACGCACGCATGGTTACAGTGCTCGAGGACAACGAGCGACTTCGTGCAGAAGTTGTCGAGTTACGCCAGGCGCGAGAGGATTCGCGCCAGAAAACTGCCGCCCAAGAGGAGGTCGCCAGCACCGGACGTGTCGAAACCGTTTTAGATGAAATCGCACGTCAGGTGTCTCAGGAGCGCAAGGACAGCGAAGCCGCCGCAGCAGCTGACGTGGCAGCATGAGCAACAGCCGAAGCAATGGCAGCAGCCCGGTCAGAAGCAGCCGCTACTGTAGCCGCACCAGCATTCGTGCCGATAGTGACGACAGCGTCGATCAAACCGACAATGCCGCCCCCGTTCAAGCCCACATACAAGAATACTACTGTTACGGGCTGGTTATTTTTTGCGGAACTTTATATTAATGTCGCTGGGATCACTGCTGACGATTTAAAAATTCGGCTGGCTGTATCACTACAACGGGGACCTGCGCTAGATTGGTGGCGATATTCACTACAAGAGGGGGAGTTTTCGACAGGCGACACACAAGGGTTTTTCGGAAACCTTGGGTCTGCTGCCCAAAGGTAAACCGCGATTATCGGATCGACCAAGATTCGCACGTGGAAGGCGTGGGGTACAGCTCTGCGTGAACGGTTCGAGCCCATATCCGCCTCAGACAACGCACGCACGAAGCTGGACAACTGGCGCCAGTGGAGTTCTGCCCAAGATTACGCGTCGATCTTCATGGCGTTATGCGATCAAATCACCGACATGCATGACTCCGAGAAGAAGGCTCGATTCATTTCGGGCCTGAAGCAGGACATTCAATGCGAGGTTCGACTACGACTACCAGCGACGTTTCACGAAACAGTCCGGATCGCAGACACTTTCGACGCGCATCGGACGTATGCGAGAGCGGGTTCCCGGGGGGGAAATCGTTTTCGTGGCCAGGATCCACAGCCCACGATTCACAGAATAGTGGCGAAAGAGCACATGGAAGATTTTCGCAAGGGACAATGTTTCAACTGCCACCAGCTGAGTCACCAATCTCACAATTGCCCCCTAAAGAAGCAGATAAAGAAGAACGACGAAGACAGGTCGGGAAACGCCAAGCGTCAGTAGCAGTCGGGCCCCCTACTGACCCTGCCTCATCGCCCGAAAAACACCATCCCCACCGAGTAGTGGTTCCGATACACGCTATCAACCGCTCCCGGCTGAATAAGGGGGATGACCCAGGTGGACCACCCTGTGCTGGCGGAGGGACGACTCAATGGAAGAAAAATAACAATATTCATCGACGGAGGTGCGAGTCACAGCCTGATAAATCAAGAGACAGCACGAAGACTACACTTATCGTTGGAGTGGTGTCTGCCCGAAATCGACGCGCAATTGGTGGATGGCACCCCGCTGGTGATCCATGACAAAGAACACGTCGTTCGAATGAAGTGTGGCGAAGATTTTGGCTTCAACGCGCCGATGCTGGCGACAACAGTCGATGGCTACGATGTGCTGTTGGGACGCGATTGGCTGCGAAGATTCAATCCGCAGATCGATTGGACGACAGGCGAGTGCACAGTGAAGTCCGAAAAAGGCTGGCAAAAAATACCCACGTGGCTGGAAGCAGAGACAACCTCGACACGAGTCAATGTTGTGTGCCTCAACCAAGCGGTCCAGAATGGAGCGGATTTATACGCCGTCCATCTAACCGAATCAATGGAGCAGAACGAGGCGACTGACATCAACAAACTCTGCGCTTCGGTCCCGGATGACTTGGCAAAAATCATTGGGGAATATCCCGAGATTTTCCCGGACGACTTGCCAAGTGGACTGCCACCCGAACAACCCCAGGACCACAAAATCGAGCTGGAGCTGGGCGCGCAGCCTACTATACGAACTCAATGGCGCCTGACTCAGCCGGAGCTCTACGAATTACGGAACCAACTTGACTACCTGCTGGCAAAAGGGTTTATTCGGCCGAGCACATCCCCGTTCGCAGCGCCGATCCTGTTCACCCCAAAGAAGGGCGGCGGACTTCGCATGTGTACGGACTATTGTGCCCTTAATCGGGTAACGATAAAATCACGCTACCCAATCCCATGCACGGACGAGTTGATTGACAACCTTCGCGAAGCTCGCTACTTCTCGAAGATCGACCTTCGTGGTGGTTACCATCAAATTCGGGTTTTCGTGGGCGACTGCCACAAGACCGTGTTTCGTACTCGCTACGGGAGTTACGAATACACGGTGATGCCGTTTGGATGAACGAACGCCCCCTCGACGTTCCAGCACACCATGAACAGGGTGTTTCGCGATCTACTCGACAAATGTGTGATAATTTACCAGGACGACATCCTGATTTACAGCAAGACCCGGGAGCAACATTTAAAAGACTTGGAAGCGGCTTTTTAGCGGCTGGAGAAGCATCGTCTCATCACCAAGGGCTCCAAGTGCGGGTTTTTAAAACAATAAATGGAGTTCCTGGGGCACGTGATCTCCCCAGAGGGAATTCAAATGGACCCGAAAAAACTCTGGGCTATTCAGGAGTGGAAACCACCAACAAATCTGCAGCAGCTGCAATCATTTCTGGGTTTTATGAATTACAGCGACGGAACAATCTGTCCCCAAAATGGCAATGTTTAGCAAGTTCATGATGTTTTGACAAGTATAAATGAATCATTCACAATCTGTGGACATTATGCAAAAACAATTGATGCACCTCCAGATATAACAAACTCTAGCCCATATCGAATCGCTAATAACGAGTACAAGCTTTAACGCTCGACGGTCGATGCGGACAAATACTACCCGAGTAAAGACTAGATCTGTTTCCGTCGAGCATTCTTTGCACGAGCTAGCAAAGTTGCTCAGACTTTTGCTAGTGCATGCCCCTTACCCCGTGATCCTCCAGTAACCACGCGCCCGCTTGCTTCGCGTCAGAGATACCAGATCATAAGCCTCTGGCGCCAAAGTCTGAGTTTTCGACCGATCGCACGAACGCTAGGAATAGGGCAGAGAATCGACCAAAAAAACACTCTGAAGGCTAGTCACAGTAGTAGTCGTCTAGTAGCTAGGCAAAATGTCCACTCTTTAGGTCGACCGCAACTGCTCTCAGCGTGATACATGTGCACTTTCGTGCACACCATCATGTTAGGTGTCGCGTTGACGAGCATTTAGGCTGCATAACCGCTGGAACCGAATCACGTTGTTAAGGTCCACCCTCACACTGTACGAAATGCCCTCTGGGTGACTGGGTTAGTTGCTGTACAACTATTGCGCAAGCCTCAATTATTAGCGCGCAATATGTGCGACTATACAGAATTTCGCCAGAGCCCACCTAGACTGGACTCTGATGACTGGAAGCGGGTGATCTGGTCGAACATGACTCAGATCA